ATATATCTATCTATATATATGTGTGTGTATGTATATATAGTAACAGTGTTACTGAAATCTGCTTCCATATAGAACACTTGTGAATATCTTTCCAAGTGGTTTTATGTGAACATTCACATTAGGAGCACAGTGGAAGCAGAAGTTTTTGTCTACAGATACATAATTAAAAGAATCTCACAGAGGATCAGGATACTCAGTGTACTCTGATGCTTCATGTTACAAAATTATTTGTTTTTCATACTGTAATTAGAGCATAATTTTAAACTTCACAGGCAGTGACTCATTAAACTTGTTCCACAACACATGTAATTTCTTATATGTTGAGAATTTTGTTTTTATTTTGTATTTTTACATCACTGTGTACGGCAGCTTCTGGAATGATGTGGGTGATCTTTTATTTTTATTTATTTTTTAAATTTTATATCTTATTTTTAGAAAGCAGTGTTACTGAACACTGAGTTGATAATATTGGAGATATGCATATGTATTAACATCACATTTTAGTTTTAGTAACTTCATCATTTATAAACTTAAAAGACAGGAAAATCTGAGTAAATTAAATGGCTATCGGTTTATTCTTTTCATATACTATATTTGTCTCATTGAAGTTTGATAGATTATTTTCTCATTTAAGGAAAGAGCATTTTTATAGGGGCAAAAGATCTGCTTGACCAGATGCTTTGCTTCTAATTCTTGCTACTACTCCTGTGACTTGCTCAGGAATTCTCTTATGGGAAAATGACTTTGCTTACAATTGGGAGAAATGCCTCTATGAAAGGAAAAAAATCAAATTTCTTGATTCCCCCACTTCCACATTCAAAGTCCCTTAAATTTCTTTCAATAGAAGACTTAGAATTCTACCTAAAGGAAATTGAAAATAGTAAAGTTTAAAAGATTAACTCTGTTCTATTTCTTCTGGTTTCTTACTAATTCATGATGCTAATTTAGGGCAGTTTACCTAATTTTAGGATTCTCATATAGCTGATTTCTTTGGTAGGACTGCAGGCTGTAAAGTTGCCTTACTTGCATTCAACAGCATATTGCTATGCATTGGACGAGCCATGTCTGCCTCAGCCTCTTTGATAACACATTAGTAAGAGCAGTAGTCCCAGAGTCATGCAGTTCAGTTCGGATTGAATGAGCTTATGTATTTACATTGTTTAGCATCACAGCTGACAGACAAACAGTAAGTATTTTAATAAAAGCTTAATTGGCCTTGTGATTGTCATTTTTGTTTTTAAATTTGTCACTTTAGAGAGTAAGGTATTTGATATTTATTTCTTTATAATATGCTTATCAAGAATATAGACCATAATCATCTATGATTAGTTTTGTGTGTGCCTGTCAGGTGTGAAGAACATTATAAAATTCCTTATTATGCTATTAAATATTAATTCATTGTGTATATATAAAATTAGTTTCACTTTCTGGAATCGTCATCTCATTTCTGCTTACCTTAAAGCTTTGAATTTACTCTTTGTACATATAATTATTCATGTCTTTGGTCTTTACTGACATTTTGCTCTTATTGTAGTAGCTACTTTTAAAGTTACAAAAGTAAAAATACATACAGTCTCATCAATTTCACCTTCTTTGGAAGCATTTGTTCTTTGTTTTTCAAACTATAAGTACAAGTGTTTGTTTTGGAAAGTAACAATAGCTGTAACTTTCTTTTGCTTATTTATTTATTTATTGCATTTAATTTGTCGAATTTGAGAGTACACATTGGCTGAAAGTATGACATTGTGTTTTATTTGTTTTTTTGAGATAGAGGGTTCCTTGGTATGTAGTTCAGATTGGCCTTGAGTTCATTATGTAGCTCAGACTAGCCTTGAACTTTGCAGGGATCCTCCTGTCTCAGCCTCTGCAGTGCTGAGATTACAGGTATACACTACCACACCTGGCACTGACCAAAGTGTTTTTACAACTCAAAAATGTATTCCTCCAGTAAAACTGGCAATTTACACTGGAGTTTTGTTCTGTGTTCCTATCATGCAGATAATACTCTCCTTTCTAAATCTCTTCATATATATATATATATATATATATATATATATATATATATGTGTGTGTGTGTGTGTGTGTGTGTGTGTGTGTGTGTTTCTGTGATACAGTTTGTTTTCTTTCTTTAGTTCTTCTGAAATATTTTAGATTATAAATGTTCCTTTATTATCCTTGTGTTTATCTGTTCTGCTATCTCCTCCTCTGCCCCTAGTATCACAGCCACAATTAATTGGATATTTTTAAATTCCTATAAGAATCCTTCAATTTGTTCTGAAACACAGTGGGATCATTGGGAAATCATTTGGTCCTCTTAGGTCTTGCTTTTAACATTTATTTAGGCAGTACTGGAACAGGCTAGGTTTAAAACTCTTTCTCCTAGTGAGGCAAGACCTTTCCGTGTAGTTCTTGTGAACCATGAAGTTTTCATGACCTTGAGGGGCAGGGCAGTTTTTTCCTGGCCTCTGCAGTTCTCATTTCCTTTGTTCAGGACTTGTAAGAGTGAACTCTGGCTGCTTCATTTTCCATGGACTTTTAACTTGGTCCTCCACTCCAGGAGACAGCTCGACCCAAATTCTCAAATGATTAACCTGGGCAGTTTAGCTGCAGACTCACATTTTTTCTGGTCTCTTTGCCAGCATTGCCCTCAGTTGCCCACTTCCAGTGGCTTGAAACTACTGCTATATGTGTTTTGATGGTGTCAGGTAGGGCAGTGAATCTGGTTCCTGTTACTTAATCTTGACTGGATTTAGACAAGTAGGCATGGTTTATAAGTCCCCTAGATAATGCAAGTAACTTTCGTAGGTTTGCCAAGAGGGGAAAAAAAAAGATGACTACAAACGCATATTGTAGTGGGGGAAATAGCATTCTTCAACATAAAAATTAAAATCTATATTTAAACATGGATTTTTTTGGCTATAAAAGTGTTTTTGCACATTTTGTATTGTTTGCCGTACAGCTAACAACCCCACCATTCCCACTTCCTTGATTGACTCCTTCTAGTTTCTCGTTTAGTTTTTCATGATGTTGCCTAAGCAAAAAGAAATTTCTTTTAGTTGTAGTTGTTAAGTATTTATTTCCCAAGCAGTTTAATTAGTATTTAAATACCTTAAACCGAGGAAAGAAATTGAGAGCCACATTATTAATAGCTTTTGTACTTTCTTGGATTATGTTCACATTTCCAAGTTTTGGAATCAGGTGACATAGCCTGTTTTCTTGTTTCATGTTTGATTTTTTTTTTTTTTTCCTTATTTTTAGAGAGTCTTGTTATGTAGTTCAGGCTAGCCTGGAACCTCACAGCAGTCCTCTTGACTCATCATCCCCTTGCTGAGATTATAGGTGTGAGCCACTACATTGATTTTTGCATAAGTTATTTTTACAGCCACCAAAAATCTAGCTCTGTAAAAATGTATCATTATCAAAAGGATTTACTGTGATCTAACATTGAAATACACATGCCTTGAGTTGTTTACATGTGGGGTAAACACTGTCACTATCTCCCTGAAATTTTCAAATACTCCCTGGAACCCTGTTTATCCATTATGCTATCTGAATTCACTAGTGAAGTTCAAGGGATGTCTAACCCTCCAATATGCAGATACATTTTCCTACTAATGATAACAACTGAAAATAAAGCAAGAACTCTGTCTTCATTGGCTAAGCTCAGTCATACGAGCTGTAGTAGAAAGCTGCAGTTTTATTTTCTTTGATTGGAATTTCAACAGCAACAGGTGCTAATCACTGTTTATCTGTGGTACTTTGTGCTGAACCACTTACACTTTCCTTATGTGTCAGTATTTTTAAATTATTAAATTATGAGTAAGTATATGTATATACATATATATATATATATATATATATATATATATATATATATATGTTATCTCAAATACTTAAAGGAAGAATCAACTGTGAAATTATGCTGGGCATGGTCACATGTCCTTGGAATCTCAGAGGATCACTGTGAGTTCAAGGCAGGTCTGAGTATATAATAAACTTAAAGCCAGCCTGCACCCCGTCTCAACAAAACAACAAATTACTATGGTTTAGGTGAAAGGACAATGTGGCCATCTGTCCTTCTAAGGTTTCCAGTATGAGGATCTTCCTTACTAGATGATTAGATGGCCAGACATGGTCGTGCAAGCCTGTAATTCCAGCACTGGAGAGGCTGAGGCAGGAGGATTACTGTGAGTTCAGAGCCAGCCTGAGCTACACAGTCCTGGGTCAACCTGAACTAAATAGTGAGTAAAAACAAAACAAAACAAAACAAAACAAATCAAGGAAATGGAATACAGATACTTTCCATATAACTGTGCCTTAATAGAAGGAAATTGTGATCCTATAATTCAGTTTTAAGGTATAGTCTCATGGAAATGCATTTAAAATTAGTTTTGCATGTATTCTTGTGATTATAGTGAAATGATTCCATAAATAATACTTGATATATCTAAAACAAATAGCACTTCCTATGCACAATGTCTGTTTGCCAAATGCTGCCTAATGTTGACTATAAACTAATGTTATTAAAGTGGTACTATCACTGAATTTGAAAATTAAAACTTTGATTCAACTTCTAAATTGACAGCTTGTTTGCTTTGTGATATTGATAAGTGGCTTGCTTAGATTTGATGACTTTCTTACTCGTACAGAAATAACATGCTTCTCCAAGTACTTTTCGTACTTTAGAATGGTGCCATATGTAAGCTTCTTAATAAAGTGTATAAAAACATTATAGAGGTGATTGTCCTTAGCATTTGGCTGCCTGCCTGGTACATAGTATATATTCAACAAATATTTATTGATTAGCTATCATTTAACCCAGAGGTCCACCATCAGGCCTTGTTTTTGGCCTGGAAAAAAAATCTAAAAGGTTTGTAATGTTGCTAAAAAAATAATGTTTTTTTAAAAAATCCTAAATAATTGACAGCAGGTGCATATTTTGAAGAAGATGTATTCTCTTTTAAAAATGTTTGTGATAGTATACTTTGTCAATATTTTAGGAGGAGCAGAATAGAGGCAAGCCCAACTGGGAGCATCTGAATGAAGATTTACATGTACTAATCACTGTGGAAGATGCTCAAAACAGAGCAGAAATCAAACTGAAAAGAGCAGTTGAAGAAGTGAAGAAATTACTGGTGCCTGCAGTAAGTAATAATTTCAAAATCTCAAATTTAGGTGTCATCTTTTTTTTTATTGAAATTTCAAGACAAACACATTGTACAAATTCTTAACTGAGGAAGTCTATTTTTATGAAGAAAGTAATGTGGGAGGAGAGCAAATATAGTTAATAGACCGCTCAAAAATAATAAACTCAGCTTTTAAATCACTGTATTTAGTGGAAGAATATAGATATAGCATCAGTAGGCTGATGGACATATTTATTTTTGAAAGAGCAATTAAATACTATTTAGAAATCTGTACAAATCTGAAGCTTGTGTTTGGTGAGCTGAATAGTAGAGGTACATTATTGCCTTTGGATGTAAGGTATTCTAGTGTATATCCTTATCTCCCAAAGAAAGTATATTATCTCTAAGATAATAAAAATTACTGAGCTTCATAGTTTTATGTTCTTATTCTCCTTCATTCTCTTTTATTCTCATTAGGGTCTGTTGCTTATTATTAGGTAACTCTTTCGTAACTGTAGAAATGATAACTGAACTATTACCCAAGTGTTACATTTTTCAATGAAAAATAAAAAGTTATTAGATTTTCTCTGTCATTATTAAAATACTTTCATATATTAATAAAAGTATATAGAACTATCGATTCTAGCTTGTTATCGAAAAACTAGTGATACTATTAGTATTATGTTGGATAAAATTGTGTTGGCATTTACATAAATGAGTACAGCCTCTACTGTTTTACTTCCCAGACAGTTTATTCTTTATTTTCCTAATAATCTCTTTTATAAATCTTAAACATTCCGTTAACTTGACAAAACTAATTCCTTGGGAGAAAAGAATTTCATGTCTGTCATATAAGAGTGTAAATACACAGACTAGTGTAAAAGTGAAATCTGTGTTTGTGCAGTGGTACATCATGTAGTTTTATTCCTTTTTCTTGATACATTCTTAAATCCTTTATAAAAGATGAAAATTTTGTAAACAGTAGATTTATATTACTAAATATAACAAAACCTTGGTTTGTGAACATCATTCATTCCAGGGACATGCTTATTATCCAAAGCATTTGTATATTAAAGCCTAAGTTTTCCATAAGAAATTATAGAAACTCAGATGATTCATTCCACAACCCCAGAATACTCATATGGAATACAAAATACAAAGAAAAATTATCAGCCCCTTAATCTTGGAAAATTTTTGTGGTTGATGTGAGAGATCTAACAGAAAGAAGGGTTAGCTTTCACCATCACTAGCAGAATCAGTGCTGTTGATTAGCTCTATGAAATCTTTCTTTTTGTACAACTTTAACAAAGAACCTATCCAGTGATACTTCGTTTTACTTCCTTTTGAGAATTTCCTGAAAATGACACTGCAGATTGATCACACTACTATATAGCCTTATTCAGGTGGTGCTTGTCTACAAAATTTTGGTTTCCCGCATTTTATACATCTCCCTAATTTCATCTGAAGTAAGAGATTGCACTGCCTTTTTCTTTTTTTTCCTCTGCAGGTGAGATCTCCATAAGTTCTTGCTGCTGAGAGATGATCACCCACAATCCCTGGGGGTGGAGTAGGGGTAGGAAGAACAGTTGACTGGCTCAGTTTTGATCTTACGAATTTTTAGTGTCACATACTAATATTACATACATCATTCACTTAGAGAATTAAAATATATTAGAAATGTTTGCTTGTCTTGTGAACACTTCCAGAACAAGCTACTCACAATCCAAGGTTTTACTGTATATCCAGAAATATTTAAATCATATTATACTAACTGTTACTGTTGATACTTAAAAAATGAAAGTTACTCATACCCAAAAGCTAAAAATAAATGAGTGGAGCCTGGAAGTATAGACCTATAATCCTGGCACTAAGAGAGGCTAAGGCAGAAGCTTTCTCAAATTGAGCCAAGCCTAAACAATTTAGGGATTTAGCAAGATCCTGTATCAAATTAAAAAGAAAAAAGGGCTTGGGAGATGTGGCTCAGTGGGAAGGTCTTGAATTCAGTCCCTAGTTTAAAAAAAAAAAAAAAAAAAAAAAAGATTTAATCTCATAGATACGGAAAGTAAAATAAGGGCCACTAAAATACTGGGAATGAGAACATGAAGGGAAGTATGATACAAAGAGATTGATGGGCAGATACAGAATTACAGTTAGAGTGAAGGAGTAAGTTCTAGTGACCATAGTTAATAGTAGTTTATTATATATTTAAAAGTAGCTAGAAGACAAGACTTTGAGTATTTCAAAGTGTCTGTAGGTTGTCATGATATTCTTATAAATTCCCCTGTGTTTCTGAAACCATGAATGCATTCACTGTATTATACAGCCCAGATTCTTACTTTCTGTTCTCTTTAAAATTTGGGCAGATTACTACTACCTTCTTGTCTCCTTTCGTTTGTACCTGCATTATTGGCCTTGATGAGTTCTCTTATTTTTATGGAAAACCACTTCTGCCTCACCTCTATGGTTATTTTCTGTTTCTTTTAAAACTTTAAACAATCAAATGGAAGTGTACATTGCTATGTAAATAAAATTATAAATGTTTATTACATAGGTCAAGTGTTCTGTCATGTGGTAATACTTTTTGCTTTAAATATTACCTAAAATGGTGGAAAAGGATGAATTAAGTTTCAAAAGTTTAGGAAGAAAGGTACAGTAATGTTTGATTATAGAGTGTTCAGAGAGTCACAATTGAGCTTTCTTGATTATATGAATATGAGAAATCTTATGGGATGTATGTTGTGACAGAATTAATGCTTTTCATGTTCATCAAAAGTGAACTTTTTTCTGTGAAAGTTTAATCTTTTTGGAGAAGATGCAGAATAAAGTATAATTTAAGAGAATTTTTACTGGCAATAAAGAATTAGTTTAGAGAGCAAAGTTATGAGGTAAGAGAATGGCAGTGTGGGGTGAAAAAAGAAATGGAAGAGATTCTCAGAACTTTCCAGTTTTTCTGATTAGATGTGGAAACCAAAGGGAGAAGATTTTTGTGATGAATTGGAATTTCAAGCATTGGGTATGAGAAGAAAAAATAGCATTAACAAACAGAAGAATCAAGGTGAAAACAGTATGTTTATGATGAAAGAACAACAGCGGTGATCCTCAGCTTTAGGGTGGGCTTTCGTAAGCGTCATGAAAACTCTCTTTACCCACAATAATAGACAAATCTACAGTTTGCCTTAATTTCAGAGGCCTTTATGAACTCCTAAGACTCCATCTCTCTGAGTTCTTGGGCCAAAGGAATTATGTAGTACAATTTGAGGATTCCTGCTCCAGGAACCCTCCATCACCCCACGCAATGAAGAAAAACAAATAATGCTTGCAGTTGAGGACTGTATATTGAGAAAGTTGTGAATCATTTCCTGGCAATTAAGAAAAACTGTGTTTCAAATTTTGTGTATTTAATATGGTAGAGACTTTTCATGCTTATTTAAAAATTGTACCCTTTTGCCAGGCATGTAGAGGTATTACCCTTCCCCATTTCCTTGCAGTTTAATAGTATTATTTCCAGTCTAAAACACTTAGTAAGCAATGCAGGGGCTTCCGGGTATTTTTTTCTATACCTTGGCACCTGAAGAAACTTCCACTCCAGCTGGTAAAGCAATAAAATAGTAGAGAGTCACCCAGCCTGGGTCCCTGAGTGACAGTGCAGAGCACAGCCATTCTGTCTCCTATGACGCAAGAGAGTGTGAAGATGATATACATATTTGTTAGATCAAATCATTATGATTGGGGAATTGTTTGTTTCCTATGTAATGTAGCTACTATGGAAATCAGGATGGAAGGTCTTCAAAATTTAATTAGAAATTTTTTCAAACTAGTTATTCTGTATGTCTTCTTGAGTTAAGACAGTAGCACATATATACCCATGGTAAAGCAGCACAGTTCATTATAGCTCCATCTTGGAAATGGCCTGTGTGGTCATTAATAGATGATAGATAAAGAAAATGGTTTCTTTTGTATGATAAACCAAAAATACAAGTAACTTGAAGAGCAAAATAAAAGATAGTAGGAAACAATGAGATGTTTTGCAGACCGGGATCTAGAGATGAAGGTTGGGGATGGGAAAGGGAGATACAATTAAGATGTGATATGTAGATATACCAGCTTCCCAAGACTGAATACTCATTATATATTACAGATATACACTAATGCATAAAAAGGGTTGTCCAGGAAAAAGGAAGGAGAAAGCTACTGGAAATCATAATTTTGTTAATATTTCCCACCTATTTTACACTGCTTAATTTTTTAGAGTGTGTTGTTGCAACCATTTTAAACTCTTAGATTTTCTGAATCATTAGAATGACCTGGACTGAAAATATTAAACCATTTTCACCTTGTTTCTTAAGTAAATCTTAATTCTAATGGAAAACATTCTTACCTCCTCCTTGTTAGGGAGTTATATGTCATCCTTTCCTAACCGAGGTGCAAATTTTTAAGTACTTCTGCTCTGCTCTGTTTTGCTCACGATGGAACACTATAAGTTTGCTCAAAAGCAGAAGTAACATTCATGCTGCAGCTTATATGCTTTGGCATCCTGAAGTTTCTTTCCTCCACCAGATAAACTACTCTAGTTGTAGCAAGCCTATGGCGTGCATGCTGCAACCTGCTGTTTGTTATCATTGAAAATTCACCATCACTCATCTGTGACTTTTAATCAAAGCCTTTCACAGAGACTCAAGGCATGGAAAAACTATAATCCCCCCTTTTTCCCCACCTCCAATGTAATACAGGTAATCCAATAGTCTGGTTTCCAATAGAATCCTCATTTCTAGCTGAAACCTTGTCATCATCATCACCTTTACTGTCCACATTTCTATCAGTGTTCTGGTCTTCTGAGTCCTCATCAGAATTGCCTGTTAAGATCTGTTTATACCATTTTAATTATAGGCTTTTTCTAGTTTGCTGTCTGAAACTTTTCCACATAGTGAGTCATATGAAGTTACTGCAATAACTCCACTTCTCAGTATTAATTTTCTGTCTTACTTAGCTGTCACTGTAACAGGTACCTGAGCTAATAA